TGGAACTTGCTTCACAGGAGACAGTGATGGCCATCAACTTAGATAGCTTTATTAGATTAGACAAATTGCTGCAGGAGGCTATCGATGACTATGAGCCATGGTGGCTATACTCTGCCTCCATAGTTTGAGGAAACAGTGCTTCTGAATAACAGTTGCTTAGCACTACAGAGTGAGAGTGTGGTCTTGCGCTTGGATCCTGCTTGTGGGTTTCCCACAGGCATCTTGTTGGCCACTGTGATGACACGATGCAGAACTAGATGGGCCACTGGCCTTATTCAACAGGCACTTACGTTCCAGGGTTCTAAGGAGCACTTATGAACCTGTATATGTGGGAGTCTTAGATGAATCCTGTTAATGGGCAATAGAATTCTAGGGGAAAATAGCCATGATAAAATGCTCATCCCAGCCAATCCCAAGTCTTGCATTCACATTAGGAATGGGCTTGAAAACCCTTCTGATTCAAGCTGCTTCACATAGAATCACTAGATTGGGAGCTCAGTCTAGTACAACTCCCTGCTGATGCAAAACAAAAAACCAAAAACCCCACTACTACAACATCCCTGCTTGGAAACCATCAATGAAGGGGATTCCACCACCTTCCCAGGCAGTCTGTTCCACTGTCAAAACAGCTCACATTGGGAGGATGCTTCCCCTAATGTTCAGTCTAAATCTGTTTCCTTCTCATTTGAACCAGCTGGTTCTGGGTCAATCCTCAGAAACAAGAGAAAATATAGTCCATCAACTACATGACACCATATATGTAAGCAATCTCTGCCTTCAAGTTCCAAAATCTTAACATTGGCTGCTGATTTACTGCCTGAACTGTAGATCAGAGGCACTGAGCTGGGGTGCCAATATCAAAACTGCATCTCAGTACAACACAGTCGAACCCCCCACCCCACCCACAAAAAGGTGGCAGGTGGCATCTGGGTCTTAATCAGGGTCTTAATACCCCTGGCTTCTTAATCTGGGTCTTAATACCCCTGCTTCAGTTAATCTATTTATTTAAAACATTTAAAGGTAAAGGTAAAGGTACCCCTGCCCGTACGGGCCAGTCGTGTCCGACTCTAGGGTTGCGCGCTCATCTCGCTCAAGAGGCCGGGAGCCAGCGATGTCCGAAGACACTTCCAGGTCACGTGGCCAGCGTGACGAAGCTGCTCTGGCGAGCCAGGACCAGCGCAGCACACGGAAACGCCGTTTACCTTCCCGCTATAAAGCGGTACCTATTTATCTACTTGCACTTAGGGGTGCTTTCGAACTGCTAGGTGGGCAGGATTAAAACATTTATGTTAATAAATAAGTTAATAAACTTAATTCTTCACATTTTGTGGAGATATGTAAAATAATGGTATCCTGCACGCCACAAAGAACACAATAAAATTGCACACTGCAGCAGGATTTGAGAAGGTTTGCTTGCCTGTCTATATATGGCTCTCTTCTCAGCTCAGGGAAAACACAGCATTTAAAGCAGGAGGAAGAGGCACCATTAAACATGGTTCTGCGTAAGATCCATAATCCATTCATCTTACATTAAAGCTGATAAATTGTAAATTATGTACTATGTTTCTAATATAGCCCTAAACTGATCCAACAGCAAAGTTTTCAATACCAGAAAGCAATTAAAAGAAAGACAGCCTCACCAGGTGAATGCAAATTATTTGGTTACTAGAGACCTGATCAAATAAGACAATCTAATTAACTGGTGATCAAATTAAGCAGAAGACTCTCTGAGTGAGGTGTAATTAACTGGAATTGTCTGTATTATGTAGGGTGCAATCTACCATCCAATTCCTGTGAAAGCTCCATTGAAATGAATGGGATTTGATGTGAAATAGCATCTGACATGTTGCACACCTATTCCGTTTTTTGAAATATGCATTATATGAGAGATTAGGCCAGAGTCCTACATTTAGCAAGGACTGTAGGAAACGTCTTGATGTTTATTGGTCTTCATAAGCTCATTAGCCCAAGTGGCAAGAACAGAAAGGGGAATGTGAGGAGCTTCAAAAGGTTCACTCTGAACTGTGTGAATGGGCATTAAAATGGCAAGTGTAATTCAATTTAGCAAATGTGAAATGATGCACACAGGGGCAAAAACAATCTAACTTATCGGATCTGAACTGGCAGGGACCAAATGGGAAACAGCTCTTGGGAGTCACAGCAGGCAGATAAATGGAAATGACGACCCAGAGTGCGACAGCTGTGAAAAAGGGAAATTGTTTTAGGGATCGTTAGGAAAGGGGTTGGAGATGAAAGTGTGATATCATAATGCAGTTATAAAAATCTATGGCATGGGCAACATTTGGAATACTGTGTTCAAGCTTTGGTCTCCTCAGCTCAAAAAGAATATTGTTGAGCTGGAAAAGGTTAAGAAAAGGGCATCCAAAATGATTATGAGGCTGCACTATTCCCCTGTAAGGAAAAGTAAAGGTTACAGCGCTTGGGACTTTAATTCTTGATATGCATTTTAAGCCTGCCCTTCACCATGTGATTCTGGCTCAATTCAAGTAAACCATTAAATACATAAAACATTACTAGTCCGTATTAAAAAATTTTTTGAAAAAAATTATGTTTTCAGGTTTATAGATTTCACTAATTTTACAATCATTTTAACATTTCAAAGCTTGACTTCCTTCCCCCTCTTTCTGCAGTTCCTTAAATTTATTTTTAATATCTTCTGCATATCCAAATTAACAATTTGCTCATGTATTATCTACTTTAAATAAAACTGCAGGTTATTACAATAATTCTGCCAATGTTCTTATCTGTTTACAATTTATCTGTAAATATTCAATAAGCCATTTCCATTCTTTCATAAAAAGTTTGTTATCTCGATTTCTTATTCTTCCAGTAAGTTTCACCATTTCTGCATATTCCATAATTTTTTTGCATCCATTCTTCCTTTGCTGGGACTTAGGCTGTATTAAATCAAACCAGAAACCGTCAGAAACAGCAATAATTCTACAGTGGGAGATATCTTCTGATCTTATTCTCTACCCCAAAGGCCTGTGGGGAAAAAGGGGCCTCTTGACCTAACATAAAGTGTATACAATGAAGAAGGCAGGCACACCTTGGACAGGGGAGCATTTCACAGCTTGAGTGCCACCAAAGAGAAAAATGTCTCACACTGCTGAAATTCACAGGATGGCAGAATTGCCAGCAGGGATTCATAGAATCATAGAGTTGGAAGAGACCACAAGGGCCATCGAGTCCAACCCCCTGCCAAGCAGAAACATTGCACATCGCAATGGGATGAAATACAGTGGTACCTTGGGTTAAGAACTTAATTTGTTCCAGAGGTCCGTTCTTAACCTGAAGCACCACTTTAGCTAATGGGGCCTCTTGCTGCCGCTGCGCTGCTGCTGCATGATTTCTGTTCTCATCCTAAAGCAAAGTTCTTAATCCGGGGTACTATTTCTGGGTTAACGGAGTCTGTAACCTGAAGCGTCTGTAACCCGAGGTACCACTGTACGTTAGTTTGGAAATGGATAAGGGGAGCATGTTTGGATAGAGAAAAATATTCCCTCTCAAAATACTAAAATCCAGGGTTATCTAACAAAGCTGAATGTGGGAATTCAGCAAGTTCTCCATATACCAGTTGAACTATGGAATTTGCTACACAAGATACACTGATGGCCACCAATCTAGGAGATTCAAAAGGTATTTTTTATTTATTTCATAAAACCTATATACCACTTGACAGTAAATAAAATAAAATCCCCCCACCTTGGGAGGACAAAACTATCGGCAAATACTAGTCATGATGGCAATGTATACATTTTCTCCAATATCTGTGGTGATATGTCTGTGTATCCCTGTTGCTATAGAGAGGGCTATTGCACACATGTCCTGCTCATGTGATTTCCTCTCCCATCTGGTTAACCACTGGGCGAACAGGATGAGGAACTAGACTACTTTTGGCTTTATCTAGGAAGGATCTTCTTATGCTCTTGATGCATCCTGATGATAGGTTGTGGGGGTTTTTTGCATTTAGGAAGCAGCCTTCTTCCTACACATTTGCAGGTTTAAGCAAAATACAGCCAACCACTGACAGATCTCTTCCTCCGCTACTTTTTATGGATGACAATTATTGCTGTTTCCTGCTTACCTGGAAAATGGAAATGAGGAGACTTCATGACAATGTTACCTAGGAAAATATCCAAGTGCCTACCTTGAAAATATATTCCATTCTGTGGTTCTAAAATAGCGGCTGGGATATACTTCTAAAGTCTTTCCCTGCTTTAGCTGTTTTCAGTAAGTCTAACCCCAGGTGCAGTGGAAAGGGGTGGGATGTGGGATGCGTACACACCATAAATTTAAAACACATTATCTTCCCCAAAAAATCCTGGGTACCATATTTTGTTAAGGTTGTTGGGAATTGTAGCTCTTGGAAAGATAAGCTAGTGTTCCCAGGATTCTTTGAAGAAGTGATGTGTTTTTAATGTATAATGTATACTTAGCCCAAGCAAGCCTTCCAGGATCCATCACTAGCCCAGAAAAACCTTCATAAAGAGTTAACAAAATGTTTTTTAAAATGTGGTTTCAGGACAGCAGAAGGTTCATTCACAGTAGCTTTCCTGAAGAGAAACAATTGATAAGGTTTACAGTTTATCTACTGATAAAATTATATTTTATTTGAATTAATGTCTTCATTTTATTATCTACTGTGCCCTTGAAACTTTGCAGCATTTGCCTACTAGATCCTCAATCATATTGTAGTTTTTTTGGGAGTAAGTCCAATTGAACCCAGTAGAACTTACTTCTTAATAGACATGCAGACGATTACACTGTTAGAAGATATAGGTTTAAAAATGCACATTGGCAGAAAGATGAAATACATTTTTATATGCAAAAATTCATTTATTTGAAAAAATTATAAACCACAATAAAAAGGCTTTCCAAGCGGAGTACAAGTAAAACTATAGATAAAACAATAAATTAAATTACAATAAAATGCATTAAACATTAGCACAAATGTATTCTATTCTGTTATGACTTCCCTGCAATTTACCATGCTAATATAAAATTTCAGCAAGACCCTTCAATCTAAGGTTGTGACTCTAAGTACATTTATTTGAAAAATTTCCAATGAAAAGAGCGTGAAATTACAGGATTGAATACATCTAAAGCTGCAATCTTATGCACATTTACAGTAAACCAAGCCAGTCCCAGTTAGCACAGTGGAACTTGCCTCGGAATAAACATGTAGATAGTTGTGCAATTAGTGCAGTTATATAGCTTTTTCCATTGTGCATTAACTTCAAATACATCATTACATTAAACCTTACAACAGCTACCAGGATAGGCATGTAGTATGAGCCCTTTTCTAACACGGAAGGTTAATGCCAATGAATAAGATCTTGTCTTAAGAGCTCATACCACAATAGACCAATTGTATCCAAGACACCATCACAATTTGTGACTTTCATGAAGAGTCCAGTTTCCCACTTAGATGCATTTATAGTCTCCAGCTAATTATTTGACCACCTCAATGAGTTTTCCCCCAATATGCCATAATCATTATTTTCCTCATTTCCTGGAGGAAAAACGTGTTCAGTTTTCAGAGGTGTTTGAGACAGGGAGTTTTGCTTGCCTTTGTGTGGGAGAAATTACTGGCAGGAAATTAAGCTAAATGAATTAGTTTTGCCCTCTATAGAGAGGTCTGTAATGTTTCCCATCTCACTGCCTTGTCTCAATCCAGCTTTCTGTCAATGTCCACTCCTTTGTTCTCAGAAACCTTTATACTGGTTGACATTTAACTATTCCAGAGGACGATAGCTGTTGTGGCTACTGAAGGAGATAATAACTGAAAAGAGACAGATTTTTTGATAGCTGAAGATTATTTGTTGCCATTGCTTTAAGAGTACCAGCACAAAAACCTTTGATTACAGCTCCCAAATTCAAAGGGGAATCTATGAAGAGATAGGATAAAGATGTCATATGGAACATTATCCACACTATTAAATGGATTCCTTATTTCACCAAAGTGGCCAAAATCTCCCCCAGCAAGAATGGCACAGAATACCAGATATACAGTAGTTATTAAAATATATAGACTATTTTATCCTAAGGACTCAAGACTACCTAATATCTATACTTAGTAATAGCTCTTCCTCCTTCCTGCCAGAGGCATCTACATTTGTTCTACTGTCAGATGGAGAGACCACAAACACTTCAGAAATAAAACTCAGAATGCAAGCGTTGACAAAGTTAACATGACTACAAGTTATGAATGCCCTGCAGAGATCAGTTAGCTGTTCATGTGGAACACCGCATTGCAATTAGTCAAAAAAGGATTCGCACTGGTGTGAAAGAATCATGCCAACAATGCAGTGATCCATCCATACATGAATGGGTTTAGAAATTCTGGGGCACCCAGAGGCCTCATAACAGCCACAATGGGTGGGTCAGCTCAAAGACCTGATGAGATTTCGGATGCCGAGTAGAAGCTAACTGAGCAAAACTCAGTAATCAAGACAACCAGCACTTTTGTTATACAGTGGTACCTCGGGTTAAGTACTTAATTCGTTCTGGAGGTCCGTTCTTAACCTGAAGCACCACTTTAGCTAATGGGGCCTCCTGCTGCTGCCGTGCCGCCGGAGCACAATTTCTGTTCTCATCCTGAAGCAAAGTTCTTAACCCGAGGTACTATTTCTGTGTTAGCGGAGTCTGTAACCTGAAGCGTATGTAGCCTGAAGCGTATGTAACTCGAGGTACCACTGTATTCCAAAATGCTAAACAAAAGCCTATGGTTGCATTTCTATACAGTTACCACTTAACTCAAAGGAATTTACTCTGAGTGGGCATGTATAGGACTAAGCTATAAATCCAGAACTGTTAAAAACCAATACAGGATATGCAAGTGGAGAGACCCAGGTTTTGTTTTGACTTGTCTGCTGGCTGTTTATGTGCAATTCTTGCGAAGTGCTTCTCAGGGAGAAAACACTTGAGCAACACCTCCAGAGACACTGCAGATTAGATACCACTCCCTTGGCTGTCAATCCTCCTGCGCTATGGAAAAGCACAAGGTTCTTAAAGGCATTATTAGTGTGTTATCTGAAAATCGTGAGGACAGTTCAGCAGTCTGTTTTAGAAAAGGTGGTGGTTGCGAGGGTGCGAGGTTTGAGTTTCTGAGATCAGTAAAGACGCAAAGCACATTTTCTGAAGACCTCCATAGATGGATGGGCTCAGGAGGCAGTCCCCAAATACTTTCATATTGGGAGAAGGCGCTGCCACCGTGTGTGCATGTGGGGGGGAACCTTCCAGTTTCGGGGTGGGGAGAAGGAAGAGAAGCAGGATCGGGGCGAGCGGCCTCCTCCTTCCTCGCCCCCCGCGTCTTCCCAGCGCCGCGTGCCGCTCGAACGCTGAGCAAGGCCTCATTGTGACGCCTCAATGGTTGCCCCTTTGCGAGCGCCTCCGCGCGGCGGGCTCGGCTGAGGGCAAAGGCCGCGGCGGGCGCTGCAGAAAATGGGGTTCTGCAAGGCCGAGGGCACGGGGAAGCTCGTCCTCCGGGTGGGCCTGTTCCTGACGCTGCTGGCCAGCGAGCCCGCGGGCGCCTTCAACGACACCATCTCGGTCGACGTGGCCTTGTCGGAGCCGCTGCTGCATCTGGAGGAATCGGGTGAGCGGCGAGTCCGGAGCCTGTCGAGCACGCGGAGGGCGCCCTCCGGAGAGGCGCCCTTTCCCCCCAGCGAGAGCCTCCCTCGGCTCTGTTCGAAGCCCAGTCGGCGGCTGCGAAGGGCCGCCTTTGCACCTCCGCCGTCTTCATTGTGCAAACGGGCCTCTGGCTAACCTGCGCGAGGCAATTTTCCAGGCGAAAGCGCCCCCCTAAGGCAACAGCCCCGCGGCGAGGCTGCTGCTGCTTCTAGCTGCCTCCTCCTCCTCTCTTTTCCCCGGGCCAAGTTCCAGCCTCAGAGGCTCCCCGGCGCTTCCTTTTCGCTCGCTGCGCCGCCCGGCTGCTGCTCTTTGCAGGTCCCGGCAAGTTCCTTCCCATTTCCCCCCTTGAGAAGCTAGAACGATGTTAGGTCAAAGAGAAGGTGTTTCGCGTGTGGAGCCAGCTGTTTGCCAGGCTGAGTGAGAGTCGCGGGTTTCTTGAAAAGTCATTGCTTAATCATCCCTCCCTGGGATGCGAGAGCCACGTGCCGTCTTTTATGTCACGAATTGGATGCGCTGTCAGTGCGATAGCGTTGTGCAAGGACTTGCCTTGAAGCCCAAAAGTGGACCATCCCTGCAAGACTGTGACAGTGTACATATTGCTCCTGGCCCATTCTGAGAACACGATGCTGGACTAGATGGGCCATTGGCCTGATCCAGCAGGCTCTTATTACGTTTTTGACTCTCCGATGATGATTGTTCATGTGTAAATTTTTTTACATAACTTTTCCCCCCACTAGATGTTAGGCTGCAGTTCTGTACACACTTACCCGGAAGTCTGTGCCATGAAACATAATAGGATTTACTTCTGAGTAAACATGCATAGGCTTGTACAGTGGCACCTCGGTTTTAGACTAACTCCGTTGACAAACAGTTCGGTTTTCAAATGCTGTAAACCTGGGAATAAATGCTTCGGTTTTCAAACACGCCTCAGAAGTCGAACATGCAATGTGGCTTCCGCAGTGTGCAAGATCCTGAAACCTAGCTGCCAGCTATTGAGTGTTAGTTTTTGAATGTTTCAGAACTTGAACGGACTTCTGGAATAAATTACGTTCGAAAACCGAGGTACCACTGTATTATTGTAACATAGCTTTGATTTAGCAAGCTGAAAAGTAAGGCATCCTGCAGTATAATAATGATCTCTACTACATATTTACAATGTGATTCACCAGTCACTGAAATAAAGATAATGTTGTGCTTTTCAATTTCCCTACTGGACTATATTAAAAGAATAAATTATCATGTAGGGATGTACACCCTGTTTCTCAAAATCAGTTAATATTTAAATAATGAGATGTGTCCAGCTTGATTTGTTTTAGTATAATTTATTGCTCCAGAAATCCTGGTTTCTTTCCCATTGCTCCACTGAATGAGAAAATGTTATGCTTCAGGTGAAAAGCACTGGGGAAGACTTTCATAACTAGAGGGTGGGTGAGAGTCACCTAATGAACCCTGTCAATGGAAGTCTTGCACAAGGGCTTCGGCTTGCACAGTGGGGCTTCCCCCCTCCTGCCCCGTCATTCTTCCTGCACCTGCCAAAATTTGCTCTGAGGGGGTTAGGAGAACCTCCAGAACATCACGGGGGGAAGGGATCTTTCCACCTCTCAAGCTGACATGCTTGTGCAGACAGAACATTTGCAATACCATAATGTTGAATTCCACCCTATATTTTCGTATACTTAACTTACTTCTGTAACCTGCTTTTTGTAACTTGATATCTTTTTCAGAAGCAAATCTGACAGAACCCAAGGAAGTAGAATTTGGAGAATGCACGGTTACATGTGGTAAGCAGAAAAGCAGATGGATAAAACATAGTATAAATGGGTGGGTTTTGGATTTTAAAAAAACTTTTTAGGAACAATATACTAACATTAGCGGTTGAACCATTGTAATTTGCATGCCCTCGTTCACCTTCCATTGATTTCAGTTGTTGATAACTATAATTAACAAAAACAATCCAGTTGATTGTCATTATAAATTTAGGTCAGATCTGTTGTTTTATTAATTTCACAGCCTGCAGGCTCTTTTTTTTTTTTAAAAAAGCTCCTTTTGTTTATTGGCTCATGGAGCTGCCTTCACCAGAGTAACAATTTTCTCTATTTGTGAACATCTGCGAAACGTTCAGAAGCTGAAAGACCTCCTGATGCATCTCACAGATGTCTTTCCACATACAAGATTTCCAGACCTATAAAGCAAATGGCTTCTCTGCAATAGTGTATGCTGTATTCATCATACAGCTTACTAGTTGTGCTAAAGGTAGCTGAGGTCTCAAAAATGAGTGGAAAGAGTGATCTCCAATAGGATAACCATTTTCTAGTCAAATATGCCTGTGTTCATGCAGAGCACGATAGGATAGTTTTTGCATCTCTTACAATGGCTCCGTTTCTCAGGTAGTTCGCAAGAGAAACAAATGTTCATAAACCTGATGGTTATGCCAGAAAGGAAATGTTTACTGCCCCCATCAGTGCAGCATATTTTTGTTATTTTGTGCCAGTAAACATTTTTTATATTATTCTTATGTTCTTTGCTCCAGTTAATACTTTTTTAGCACAGTTTGCGTCCCTTCCCTATTCAAAATTTGAAAAATTTGCAGATTGCTCTCCATTCTGGCAATGTTTCCATACTTTAAGTTACCCACTCCATATATTCACAGGGTTCTTTTAATTATAAATGTAACATTTAAAAAAGAAATATGAACAGTTGGTGTTATAATGAAAGAGTTGCATTCACTGATTGTGTCACTCTCATTTAGAGTGTTTTTTTATTTTATTTTAAGGTAGCCACATCTATAATTTGGTCTATAGCAGAGAGGCTACCTTGCTGTCCATTCCCCCAAATCTCAGCAAATCCATGTTTCTTTAATACTGCCCCTCCCCTGAAATGTGTAGAAGCCTCTGTTTCATTGCTTTTCCCAGGATATTTTTATGGTAATTGTGCAAATTCACAATATCCTTTTGATAATTGTTAGAATTCAGTGTTACACATGTGCTCCTAGCTTTTTCCACTTTCTTTTTAAAAAATATAAATGTTTTATACTATGCTGTTGTTTATATTTTATACAGTATCGTAAAGCACTTTGTACTTGTTGTCTTGCTTTTATTCATAACAATCTTGTCAGATAGATTTGTGCAATTCCCATTTTTACCTGATCAGGAAAGCAACATGATCAACTTGAATTACAACTCGTGTCTCTCTGCTGAAATCCCAAAATCTGGGCTCATCCATACTGATGTCTAATTTGGATAATAAGCTTCCCGTACAACATTAATTATTCATTGTCCATGTGACATTCTCTACCAAATCCCACACCATACCAGGGATGCTTCAAAAAGGAGAAGATGTGAAATAATCCAGATTTATGGTAGGAAAAGTGGAGGAGAATGTCCTAAAGACAACAGAGAATTAATGGAAGTACATTATCTACATTCAAGAACAGTATGAACGAGCCCTCCATTCAGCTCAACTTAACTTTTGCTTTTTCTTATTCATTATTTCATCTTTTTTTTACTATGTAGCTGCAAGTTGAACCATTTTTAAATTATCTTCCAGCCATCAATTGTTCTAAATCCTTTTGGCTATGCTTTCTTTCTTCTCAATTTAGCACCTTAACTTAATTGAATTAACATAGTTCTTCATTAACTTCTCCGTTATTATTGATAAAGCTGTCAGATTAGATGTGGTCTAATGCCACTTAACTGCATGCCTCATTAAAGCCCCAACCCCGCCCCCAAAGGTTGACTTGTTAATACCATTTCACATCCAACCTTCATTGCAAATTACATTGCTAGTTTGAGGAAATTTGAATGAATATCTCAATGGCCATGTTCATTAAAGTCAGTAAACCCAAATAGCTTGTTTTTGATGGAGTGCTAAGCCAAGGATCATGTCTTGTATCTCTCCAGCACAAGTGAGGAGGAGCAAAGCTTGTGCATGGTAAGCCACAGTTAATGGCTTGTCATGATGTTCAGATGCGTCCAATGAGAAAATTGCCAGGATGGAGGTAAAAATATCCAACTGGCCAGGCAATAAAAGGAGAAAAAGTAACCAAATGGTGAAACACCAAAGGAATTTGAGATCTTCTGAAACAACCTTCTTAGGACTTGAAATTTAAATTTAGCCTACACAAAGGTTGTTGCCCCTGGCCCATATTTGCTTCATGCATCCATGGTTTCACTGCATGAACACAGAATCTGGCATCTCATACAAGATCTAGCCACCTAGAAAATTGATCTAAATCTATTCCCTGCTCTCTACCCCCGAAGACAAAACCAGGAAAAAGGCTTACCCAGGGCTATTTTCTCACTTTGAATGCACTTCTCTTATGGATTTGCATCTTGGTCGTGCAAGTGTATCTGAAAATATTTTGTAAATATATGACAACTCCAAATTTATTATTCAGGTAGCTGCAGTTAAGGCAACTTTCCTATTGCGTTGGCGTAGCGTGGGGGGCACAAGGGCGGTTGCCTCAAGTGCAAAATTCTTAGGGGTGCAAAATTTCAACACCCGGTGCTGCCTTAATACAGCTGTACTCATCGCTGGGTTCCATTAAAAACGGCTTCTCCATCCAAACCAGGAAATGACCACTTCAGACAACAGTACAACTCTTCTTTTCTTATCTCTGCGAATACGATCTCCTGGGTGATATAAATACTGTTAGGTAGTTGAATGTGCATGCGTACTCCATCCGTTTCCCTCTCACTCACCCCCGCTTTGCCACGGGCCTTGGCAACCCACACTACACCACTGCCCTGTGGTGTCAGTTACAGAGGATTTTCACAATTTGAGCTAAGAGGCAGAAAGTCTTCCCTAGTCAAATTCTAGTGCTCCTAGTCCCACCATGCTTTACTCCAAATCTGATGAAGCCATCTTTCTGCAATCACAATTCAATCCCTAGGATTGTACTGTTACCCAGAAGTTTGTATCTTCCTGTTTTCAAGGGAATTTGGATAGTGGAAGTAAAAGGAATCATGAACAGCTAGGAGATTGGAGTTGGGGTTAAGAGTGATTGGTGGCCCAATAAAAGGAGACTGTCAACTCTCTCTCTCTCTCTCTCTCTCTCTCTCTCTCTCTCTCACACACACACACACACACACACAGTCTGTCCATTTGTCCATCCCTGTTTCAGGACTAAAAGAGAAGCTGTGTCCATTGTTTTCCTTTATTATAGGTATCTCCAGTATCACCCATTATACACCCATTATGTGAGTTTTTAAAAAATCTCTCTCCAAAACAAGAGAAATGTCTTTAATAAAAATGTCAGTTCATTGCTATATACACCTCTGTTTTCTTAACCTTTGAAATGAGAAATTCTCAGCAGCTTAGCATGATTCTCGTTTTGCAACATTTCCAGTAAGTGTTGTTCGTTCCGTCTGCCACTTGAGGTAATGCTACATGTCATATAAGAAATATTACAAAATATATCAGGTTTACTAGGCATTTAGGGATGCAAAATACCTCACCACAAGGTTGTTGTTTTTTCATATGCATAGGTTGTATTCTGGTTAGGTCACAAAAGGTTTCTTTTCCATCTCCTCCATTCCTTATTCAATAAACAAAATATTTCTATAACGGCTGGCAATCTAGTCTGTATTTACTGGGACTAAACATACTATTCTCTCCTCCCTCGCATGCCATGCCATTTGAATGAGCTGGGTACACAGTGTTTGGCAGAAGGAAAAAGAGAAAAGCAAAGAAACACAGCACTTGTGTTGAATATGTTTGTGTTTTTGAAAATAACATGAAGTTCCCAAGTGAAATGTTGATGTCTGAGATCTGCAATTCTTATCTAATCTTAATTACATATAGGTAGTTTTTTCCCCTGTAGGCTGCAACCCTCCACACACTCACTAGGAAGTAAGTGCCCTTTAATTCGGTGGGATTTCTTCCTGAATAAACCTGATAGGTGGAAGTTATGCAGTGCAATCTCTTTTATTATCATTAAAAAACTTGGATAATTTAAAACTGCTTAAAATGGAAGATATCATTAACATGTGGCTACAGTAACAATCAGAATTGAGCTTGCCTCAGAAAGCTTTGATTATGTTGATGAATCCACCAATTAAAGCTAGCACCAAGGTGAGATCAATGTGACATCAGATTTCCTTAATTTGCAAGAGTACTTACCCTCCTTCCTGAGGAGCCCAAATCCTGCAAGGTATTCAGCACTGTAATTTTCCATTGGTATCCATAAGAGTTAAGGATGCTCAGCACCTGATCGGAATGAGCTCATCAGAGCAAAAATGCTCCAGGCACCAGATGGTTGAGGCTTTGAAAGGCCAGGTTCACAGAGGCTGCAAGCTAGCGTTGATATTTAAATTTTAATTAACTTGTTTGTTTTTAGCAATGCATTAAAATGAAAGTGCATATAAAATTCAACTGAAAGGAGAAAGTTTTTACCTTGTGGAATGGATGGGTTACCATCATCTAAGTACACAATAGTCTCAGGCACAAATGGGTGGTATCTTCTAAATTTTGGTTATAAAGAAGACAACTGCTTTTCTGAAGGCCTTTGACAGGGACCAGAGTGTTTTGATTTTAGAAGGTGAACTTAAAGGAGTATCTGCCACAGAGAAAGAGAAAGAAACCAAAACACAAACAGACATGTAATGCTACCTTTTTCATCTTGATCAAAGGCATTGGCATTCGAGAAGTTATATTAACCAATGGATGCCCTGGAGGTGAAACTAAGTGTATTGTTCGTGTTGAAGAGTGCAGAGGACCAGCAGATTGTGGATGTGAGTAATGATGTAATGGTACAGTTATTCCCAGTTAGCTTCTGTGAATATTCATGCATCATTTCCAAAATGCCATACATTTATTCTGAGGTGGTTTAAAAGTGACATGTCCTGTATTGCTTCTTAGTTAATAGCAGGTTTAAACATAAAAGCCAGTAACATGCAATTTATAATAATTAAATGATAACTCCTCTAACCACAGTCTGTTAGTGGAGTTGTTCCTAGTATTTTGAGGTGTACAATAATGTTTAAGTATTGGTACAAAGTGACTTTTAAAACTATGTTTTGCAGGGGGTAAACCAATTTCTGAAAGTCTTGCTAGTGTGAAGATACCGTGTATTTTTGTACCTCCAGAAAATCGATTTCAGTACATTTGGAAAATGTTGATTCCGGACCAGGTAAGTAATCTAGTTCCATCCTGTGCAATGTATACTGAACTGATTTTATTTCTAATGATTCCACATAAACTTAGGCTTCCTAGAGTGTATTTATTTGCGTATAATATTGTAGATTTATAGATGCTAGAATTTAACTAAGGTTTGAGGGTGTCAAAGATAATTTATTTGGAGGAAATAGCCAGAGCCTAGTGTGTATTTTCAGGCATTGCAAGGGGTGTGATAGACCCACCGATAAGCTTCTTCCTGGGACATTGCTATTGGACATTGTAATCCTAGTCCAATGAACAAATGTTAATGAAGTCAGGCAAACTTTTTTTGTGAGGTGACCATCTTTAGCTATAAGGTGTTCAAAGGAAATAGGTGTTAGAAAGGGAATTTATGGAGTCTTCCTCTGAAGATAAACAGAGCTTAGTTTAGGGAAGGGGTTGGCAGTGATGTAATCAGGAAGCAAAGAGGGGCAGCTAAGCTGATATGTGCCCTGCAGAGAAGGGGAGGCTGCAGAGGAAGGATGCTGATGCTACTATGGAATAAGTTGGCATGTTTTAGAGTGCTGCTGCTGTGAGCCCCTTCACTGAAGCTTCAGGTTGTGTATATATGTAAATAAACCATATATCATAAAGACACTGTAGCCTCCATTGTGCCTCATTGCCAAAAGAAACACAAACCCTGGTTTAGTGCCAAGACTCCTAGAATCTTGTGCACCGTTCATTAGAGACAGGTGGCGTGGAACAATATTAATAGATACTGGAGCTCACCTTATGCCAGTGACTCTTGCATGACCACATGCTCTTTTTTTTCTTCTACACTTGTATACCAAGATACACATACATCCAAAAGACACATTAGTTTCTTTAATCTGGAGTTGTAGTATGCTACGAAATAACAGCAGCTCCTGAAAAGGAGAATGAGATGACAAGTCAGGGTCTAGAGCACTTGAATACATGATTTAAAGCAAAGATAGTCAAATAAGTGTGTTGTGCATTTAGAGGAGAGCAGAAATGATTATGTTAAAGCTGTAGAAAAGGCAAGCACCAGAGAAGATTGGGTGAGGAAAAGAAGTATGTGAGAGGTATGGCAAGTTCTACAGGTATAAGCTATTGCCACATAAGGAAATGGGAGGGAATAGAGTCCAAGCAAAATGAGAAAATGGTCCAAAATCTAAATTGCACATTTCCTGAAGTTGAGTGAGTAGCTTCTTGGAAAGTTAAGTAAAAGAGACAAGAGACTGAGTTGGAGATATGAGATTATAGCACATGTATTGCCTCTCTCAAGGTGGGGTGTGTGGGTTTGGGTGCGCGCACTCTCAGCAGTCTGCCATAAATGAGGCCATTGTTGTCTTATTCACAAACCCAGGTATCAGTAGTGGGTGATGTGGTGTGGCAGCAGTGCTCACCTGACCTTCTGGCAGCTGAGTCACTCCTGCTTAGTAAGAGATCTCCAGAAGAGCAAACATGAACACACACAAACACAGTGACAGCATAACTGGCTCTTTTGCAATACGTGGCAAGTTACACCATATGCGTCCATATACCATCAAAATTTGTCATCTAATTTAGAGGAGAAAATACATGATACACAAATGTGTATCAAAAAGTGTGTATCAAAGTGTATCAAAAACCTTAATTTTTACTTTGTTGTACTCCTCATCTAGGCAGCACTCTTTCCCTCCACCATCCTTGGTCCCATTCCCCAAGGAGCTGAAACTCTCCCAGTGTAACAAACACCTTTCCATATACCCACACTTCTATTGCACTTCTTCCTCCATGCTGGAAATGGATAAAATTGTCGTTCCTTAATCAAATTCTGAGCCTTAACTACTCCCAGCATAGAGCATGGAAGGGGAGAGGGCATGGCAAGTTACAAGAAAGCCATTGCTTTCTGACATTTCCTAGAACAATCTGCTTATCACATCATCATGCAATTCCTTCCTTAATTTAAAACAATATTGATGAAAGAGGCTTTCCATTTAATTGGTCCCACACAGATTTTGTGTTTTTCGCAGAAGAATTAACAATCGTCCAAAATTTATGCGTCACCTGACATTGCCTATCCACTGAAGAACTGAAGGGGAAAATAAAAAGTTGGGAATTTCAGATAGTTTATGGTTTAGGATATATCAGGAGGGATCACTGAAGCACCAGGAAAGAAAGAAAAGCCCCCCCCCCCCCAATTGTCACATAGTACATTCTTCGTTATGAGATAATCCAACTTTGTCTTTTTTGTCACCTTTGAATTGATAGCAATCACTCATTCTTCCTAATGATTCAGCTATTCTGGAGGTACACAGAGATACCCACCCCGTTGCGTTTGAGTGCGATACAATAGAAAACGATGAATTGATTGCATCTGTAAAATATACAGTGTACACAACAGCTGGTAAGTTCATGGAAGTTCATAAATATTTAGTCAGACGTTGCTTGTGTTAAATTAAACTTTATGAGAAGATCTTCACTCTCCACTTGTAGTTTGCAAACTACAAATGGAGCAATCCGGTAAACATGTGATGTTTCTTGTACTCTGCAGGAAGCGGAGGCCGGAGGGAATAGTGTCTATGGCGCAGACTCCATTAAAATGACTGGGCAATGTGCTCATTGCCAACACTTGATGCACTGCACCCATATCAAGCAGACTGTTTTGGAAAAGCAGTGTTTTAATTGAAAAATATATATGCTGATTTATTTTAAAACTTACTTATCTGTTAATTTGTTACTGTACTGCATTAATCTGCATATCTTTTGTGCTTTCCCCCCTCACTGATTTCAAAAGACAGAAAGATCAGGCAATTTAACAGAAGCAGCTGTTGACACCTTGTTCAATTCTCCCCAGGCCCTCTGTTGTAATCTTTCAATGCCGCAGAGTAAGGATTTAACTGATGTACTTCTTGCAGCTGTCATCTTGAATTTTACCACTCAAAGTAGATATCAGTTCCAGAGCTTCAAAGAAGCCCATCATCATGAGAATATCATAATTTCCCCCCATTTCTCCCACAATAGTTCTCTTCCCTGTGCAGTTAAAATACCCATGTCACTGGGTTGAGGCAGCAGAGGTTATAGGGGTTCCTGAAAAGGGGTTCTCTTAAAATCACCATCTTATCAAGATGAAAATGATTGGTATGTGTGTCTGTTTGCCACGTAGACATGGCTTCGTGGAACAGAAATCTCCTTATGAGAACACACCCATAACTGAACTTTGTGAAATGGAAAATGGCCTTCAGACTGGTAAACAAAAACTAAAAAGAATCACTATGGGATTAGATATATGTGATTGTATTGTTGCTAAAGGGATAACTTTTCTGTGGAAGCTACGCTATATGATGTCATTGTTGTTTTTATTCTGGTTTTAGGATTGTATTATTTTTTTAATATTGTTTACATTTGTAGGGCCTGTTCCATTTGCTGGTCTTTTGTTTACCCCTTATTTTCTAATTGTAAAAATGTGTTTTTTAAAGGAAATAGCTAAAATTCAGGGCGGCCCAACTTTCATACCAAGTGGGCTGAAAGAGTACATTGATATGGAACCTGCGGGCTGCACAAAACCTTCTCACGTGTGTGTGTGTGCTATGCAAAAATCACAATGTGGGGAAAACTATGAAGCCAGCCAATGCTTCTCTCGATTCCTGCAGCTCCTGTTAATTCTGCTGGCTCAGCTCTCCCCTGCCTCCTAGAGGAGGCAGCAGATCACAAGAGCAGGCTTCAGCAAAAATCACGATGCAGGAAAAACCGTGAAGCCAGCCAATGCCTCTACATAGCTCCATCCTTATTTCAGACTTCATGATATATTGGTATATCACAATGTTTAGCTGGTGGTATATTGTGATGTTGCAAACCAGATATCGCCCAGCTCTAATAGGTATTTTGAAGTTATGTACGACATTTTTTTCTTCAGTCCTTGACGACATTAGTTTAAAGGATCCGGTAGCAAATGGCATAATTTAAGTATTTGACAGAGTGGACTAAATTTACTTTTAAAAATGAGGGAAATTGCGCAATGCCCTATTTTGATGCAGTGTTGTCTTGTGTCTTGTGCTTTGTTTTCTTTGTTGCTTTTCCTTGGTTGACTGTCCTTTGAATTTGTGCCAATGCATAGCTGTACCTTCGAGACCCATGCTAGATCTCTGAACCACAGAATCTGTAAGGAGCAAGCAGTTGCTAAGGCCTGACTCTCAATAGTATCCACCTGTCTCTGGTTTCTGAAGGAGAAAGCCGCCTGTAATTCCTCTTAATTAAGGCTACCTCCATGTCAAAGCATAAACCGAAAGGGCAAACATAGGTGAATAATTACTGGAACTAGAGAGGGATGGGAAATATTTCTCATGGATGTTTCTTCTTCTAAAGCCTACAGGTTCCAACATATATTTTCTTCTCCATTTGATTGAAATGAAGATCAAGGCTTTCCCTATACTCTGCTAAAAAGAAATAGGAATGGAATATCAACACACATTGGCTGAAATTAGTTACTACGAATTCTCAAATTCATGTTGATGGAAATTAGGGATGAAACAAGGAATTATTTCCCCTGTTACTGTCTGGTGCTATTAGATAAACTGGTTGCTGTTAAGAAAGACTGTATAATGGGCTACTTTTATCAATGGTCTGAGCCAGTCGGTCTTTGCATATCTTCTTGTTACTGAGTAACTCATGAATCCCAGAGACCAGTAAAAAGCATTATGTTTGGTCAGCTTCAAAATGCATTTAATCTGGGCTGCTGTGTCTTCATGGATAAAATGTCAGCCCTCAACTGTTGAGCTGTGTCTGTTGGCTTCTTCTGATCCTTGCTCACATACTCCTGTCCTGAGCATTTGCATTGATGCGTCAGCTTGTGAAGCTAGTGCACATCCCTGATGGTGTGTGTCATTTTTCATGACACTTCAGTGGTGTTGCCTTTGGTACAGCCCCATCCTAAACATTTGTGTGTCTGCCAAAGCAACATGCATATGCATGCATGTACACCCCTGCAGCAATGATTGCTGAGAGCCATCGTCTCTTGAAATGAAGAGTTGGGAGGTGGAGAAGAAAACTGGATTATCAGAACAATCTGCTATCAGAACAGAGCTGCTTTGGGCTCTGTTCTGTTGCTAATGGTTCTTCATACCATTAGGACCCCTATAATGACATTAGCTTGGAAACTGAATCTAGGCTCAATTGTACACTTGCAAATAGAATCTCCTTTCGGAGGAAAGAAGGCAGGAATTAATTCAAGTGATGACATCTTGCATTAAAAATCGAGGATTTCTTTTTAAAAAAAAGGAACTATAGGAGGGATGGTACCACTTTATTCTCAGGTGGTGTGTAAATGATATAATGTTGTGCCTGGTGGGAAATTTTCCTATAAGAGATTATAACTGTGTTCTTGCTCAAAACGTGTTTTGCAGCAGTTTTTAGTGTAGTTTTGGAGACAACAGGGAGATGAGTGGATAGGTGTGTCAAAAGAGCAGGAAGAATCTACATGAACAAGTGCTCCAATTTCTAAGGTGTGTGTGTGTGTGTGTGTGTGTGTGTGTGTGTGTGTGTGTGTTAGGATAAAGCTGGTATAAACGAAGAGCTATCCATAAGGAGTATTTTGCACAGGATGATTCGTTTCTCATTAATTCTCTATTAATTCCTCATCATTGGTGAGGTTCTCTGTTTGGTTTTCAGCAGAGGCCTAGGCTCATAGGTCCTGGCTCTTCTCAGCAGAAATTGGAAACCCCTCCCTCCATGTCTTTTCAACTTCTTCTGGCTATTGCAAAGAAAATCACCGTAATTGTTAATGGTCCTCTGCATCAGGCAACCTTTCTACTGCATGGTTGCTCTGTTGCATACTCCAGCCTATTTTGGGTCTTAGCTTACTTCTGACAAAACGAGTGACATAAGGCAGTTTATTCATGTTTTCTGATAATAGTTCTGTGTGGGAGGGAGTGTGTTGTAAGTGAAGGGGATTATTCTCCTCCTCTTGCCATGGGAAGAGACAGCCAGACAAGATCCAGAGCGTGCTCCTTGTGCCATCACCCGTGTGAGCGAGTGAGTGTGTGTTGGCAACCACAGGGGAGGAGGTGGAGGCAGCAGCTGGCCAGTTTTCATCTCCCCCACATGAACGTGATATCCAGTTGGCTGTGCAGAGGCAATTTTTGTAGAGTAGCTTTCATTCAGGTCATTTCCTGTGCAGGCAGGGTCTATGGCATTGCAGCACATTGCCCTGTAAAGTGCAAGCAACTTACTCAGAATGATGCTCAAGAAATAACATGTTCTCAGTAAACTGCTCCAAGAAGATAGCAAGAGAAGGGCCAAAGAACATGTTAAATTAGCTACCTACCTGCATCTTTAAGTCTAGAGGGCCAGGGATGGCCCTCTTGGCCACCTCCTATTATTCCAGTTCACCTTTAGCCCCTTACACTTCCAGTTTGTGTGTGTGTCTCCTACACTTCCATGGCAACCTTATTCTTATGCAAGTCAGCACCTAGTTAAGGACAAAGGCTAATATAACCCCTCCTCCCCATGCTAGCAATCTGGTTTTTAAGAAACTTAAAAGCACAGATATATATATATAGAGAGAGAGAGAGAGGGAGCGTGCTATTGTAACATGTAGTTTGGCCCTAAGATCATCTTGCCTCTGAATAATGTGACACGTCAAAATGTGTTTGGCAAGCCATATTGTTCTATATTTTCTGTTTTGAGCACATTGTTGTGTTGCTGCCTCCCCCTTTTTGTCTCAATTTCCTTGTGGGGCTGCAGCCGCCTCCTTTTCTATTCAGGATGGAGTTAACACACTAAAATTGAGCTTATATAGAAAACGTTGGTTTGTTTCCAGTAATGCAGTCTTTCCCATGCTATCCCTCCTCTAAAGATAAAAGAATTCTAATGATTTTGGAACAAAAAGTCTGTCTTGGCATTCTGTTCCTTTTAACAGACCTGACGTCATTTGCACAAGGGGGGAGTTTACTTTGAACTGTGAGAATGCAGTATTGTGAACTAGGTAGTGTTGCAAACTAGGTCATCTTGCTTGCTGGATTATTCCACGGTATTTACAGTAGTGTTTAGAAGCAGGAATTCATTATGCTACATTCTGTACTAGCAGACATTTCCTGCCTCCTGCCAGAATCTCAAGCCTTTGGAGGCCTTAAGAAAAGGATTTAGGAGAATCTCTGTGTAATATTGTATGGTTATAAATCCTAGTTCAGAAACAGAAAGGATTGTGTTCTGCTAGCACACTCGATTGTTTGTAGCAGCTCAGAAAATATATAATACAGGTGAACACTATTTTATTTGATACCTTGGTGCGGGGGGGGGTATGCTCACAATGAATTTTAAAATTAAGTTTTATTTGTGAGCTGCATTTAAAATATTGAGCGGTAGGGTATTTTAAGAAGTTAAATGCAGCAACCTTTTGCCTAACTCACCTGGTTGCCAGACAGCAAGGAATTCCCTGCAAGTAGGTGAGGTTGCTCCATGCTACCTGCTGAATGAGCATTAAGCCTGATTTGTTTGCGGAAGAAGAAGAAGAAGAAGAAGAAGAAGAAGAAGAAGAAGAAGAAGAAGAAGAAGAGTTTGGATTTGATATCCCACCTTTCACTCCCCTTCAGGAGTCTCAAAGCGGCTAACATTCTCCTTTCCCTTCCTCCCCCACAACAAACACTCTGTGAGGTGAGTGGGGCTGAGAGACTTCAAAGAAGTGTGACTGGCCCAAGGTCACCCAGCAGCTGCATGTGGAGGAGCGGAGACGCGAACCCGGTTCCCCAGATTATGAGACTACCGCTCTTAACCACTACACCACACTGGCTATGCGGGTAGCCAGTGTGATGTAGTGGTTAAGTGATATGCGGAGAGATTAGACAGGGCGTGCTATTTAACGAGCATTCATTCTGATCTGTTGGTGGGGAAGTTACACTACAGTTGCACCAAGCAAGTGTTGTCCCACAATTCCTGGCGCATTTCCCTATCGCTTTCCTTTATTGCAAGGGGTCTGCTGAGGAGGGGGCTTGCAGGAGGCTGGCAGAGGGGTAGGTCACCCTGTCTCTTCCTCTGCATTTCCATGCTGGTCCCAATGCAGGGGACAATGTATTCCTTCTCTGCCACCCTGTTCAGTCTTTGTGCTGGCCATGGTGGAAGGGAAGCCCCTTCCTCTGCAGCCTGCATGGAAACACAGTGCCACCCCTCCAGCGCTAGCTCACTTGGCAGAAAGCAATTCCCTGCCCCCCCTCCCTGAAAGGAAATGCAGGATACTAGGGTTCTATCAGGCTAGTAACAAAAAAATAAAATAAGAGTGCACGGTAATAATATTTGTGGGCTTGTTTGCATGGTTATGGTGCAGCCGTCCTGGAGCTGTCACTTAAAAATAAAAACAGAACAGCAATACATAAAAGCAAAGTAAGCTGTGCATAGGAAACTAGGTTGTCCTGAGAAGGCTAGAGTACAACTGCTCACGCTTTCTGCATGCATGTAGTTAGGCGAGCATCAACCACAGGAAAGCTTTACCTGTGATTTTTTTTTAAATGCCTTATTCTTTGCCACATTTCTTTCCACCCCATGGTGACCAACAGTGATATGTATGACAACACTGTGGTGCTGGTTTTTAATTCACGTTCCACCAAACCAGGGCAGCTCCACTAGTAGGTGAAAATAATCATCGCTAGGTATGATGTCTGAAAGCTTCCTTGGCTGATTTATCTGGTTTCAGGAACTAAGTCATCAGCTGGTGGATACCACTTTTTCCAAGGGTTGCTTTACTCAGAGGCATTATTTGGACCTACCCCTTTAAATCTTACTGTTTCAATCTGCAGCTAAATTTTATTACTTCTGATGATCAACATTTTATTTACATAAGCTACCTTAACCTTACACTCATTAGCATGTTATATAAGAGCATTTTAAAGGTCTACTGCAATATACTGTGTCTCTTTTGTAAATAGAAGTGATGTTCTAAGTTCTTGTGCTTATTTACTTGTTTAGTTCCTCCATATGTCGGTTCTTTAAAATTTCTGCTGCTGTGCTCTTAATCTTTCCTGGTGTGTTGCACTCTTTCAAACTGTGCACAGGGATGGTACATAGTAGTGACATAACAGTTTTGCTTAAGGTTATAGTGCATAATGATCTGCCTTGTGATGCCTGCCTTTTAAAAGATGCACCTTTTGTACAATTTAGAATTGCTTTCTTATGTCACAGAAAAACTTAGTGGAGATTTCTATAAAACATAACAAAGCATATTTAAAAAGAACCCTTTTTTATTTTCATCCTTTTCAAAATTCTGTTTACCAACATTTCCATAATAACAGTTTTGCCTTTCTTTAGAGTTGGAAACAAGAAGGTTGAAGAAGCCAAATACAGATATAGTTTTGGTGTTTGTCCTCATAACTGGAGTTATTGTTTGTGTTGGCGTGGTATTTGCAATAATCTTCATCATCCTTAATTGGTAGGTAAACAGTGTTAAACTGAAACAGACTTTGCAGTTGGGTAACAATGAACTGTCACATTATGGCTGCAACAAGCACCATACCTTTTAAAGCAAATTACATCACCCAAAGAATCCTGGGAGATGTAGTTTGTTAAGGGATGCTGGGAATTGTAGTTCTGTGCAGGGCAAACCACTGTTCCCAGGATTCTTTGGGGGGAAGGTCATGTGCTTTCTGTTTATAGCATTTATGTTGCAGAAGCCAAGTACAGTACTGGTCAGGAGATTGTATATGATGATGTAAGAACTCCAGAAGTTATATGCAGTACAGTACAAATATTTTGTGGAAAAGGAGGGTACTAGGGCAGACATACACTCTGGCAATGAGGCGTGAAAGCAGGCTTTCTAACTGTGCCAACTACAAGCATCTCCATACTTTAGGTGGGAAGACAAGAACAATCTACACATAGTTGCTTGTTGCGAAATGACATTCGTAGAAAGAGCTGCCCCACTCAAGAATCTGTCTCCCAGAGCAATTGTTTGATGTAACTTCGTTTATAAGGCTGGCCAGGGGCTTCTAGATGCAGTTAAAGGTAAAGGTAAAGGGACCCCTGACCATTAGGTCCAGTCGTGACCAACTCTGGGGTTGTGGTGCTCATCTCGCTTTATTGGCCAACAGCTTCCAGGTCATGTGGTCAGCATGACTAAGCCGCTTCTGGTGAACCAGAGCAGCACATAGAAACGCCTTTTACCTTCCCGCTGCAGCGGTACCTATTTATCTACTTGCACTTTGACGTGCTTTCGAACTGCTAGGTTGGCAAGAGCAGGGACCAAACAACGGGAGCTCACCCCATCACGGGGATTCGAACCGCCGACCTACCGATCAGCAAGTCTTAGGCTCTGTGGGTTAACCCACAGTGCCAACCACGTCCCTTCTAGATGCAGTTATGAATCTGGTTTAGCTGGTAACAAACAGTAAAGAATAGGTGAACCTGCAAAACTAGCAAAGGCATTACAAACAAAACAAAACCCTGAGGAGACCTTTAAAGGGGAAGAGGAACTGTTCCAGATACAGGAAGCATCATGGCAGATTGCAAGCAGAAAAATGGAAGAAATGAATAAAGGAAGCTGCTGGTGGGGAAATTGGCTCATGAGGCATGGAAAGGGTGAGAAGTAGAATAGGAGGAAACGAGAGAAGAGAGCATTAGAAGTGGAGAGGTCAAGAATTTAAATGCCAGTACTGTATCTAGAGTGACATTCGAAGAATGGTTGAAAAGCATTGCTTTCATTTTAATGTGATAAGGTTTGTGCTATAGTATGCTGTCTGTTTGGCTGAAGACAGAAAATAGTTTTTTTAGAGAGATAAAGGGGAAGGATGATGCTGTGCATGGCTCAGTCTTAGGTGGACCAATTGTCCGATCCAGGGCTTGTCCCCACTTCTTCTTGTCCTACTGCTTGCAACCCCTGCTCATCAAAAACCACTATTTAGTGCTCAGTCAGAGGAAACAGCTATTTAGGTTTTCTCCAGATTGATGTTTGCTCTGATTTAGCACTAAAAAGTGGGGTTTTCCTGGGAAAGGAGCAGGGCGAGGGGGAAACCACTGAGACCCACGCATGGGACAAGTGTGGATGAGCCCTCGGTGTCAGGTAGCCTCATCTGTTCCATTGCCCATAGTGGATACACTCCTCTGGTGAACAAGGTTTAGAGGTAGAACCGTTTTCTGACCAGAAGTCCAGAACAGGGCAGAAGAAAAGCTTGTGTACACCTTTGGAAGTGATGCAACCCTTAACCATAGCTGTCAACTTTTCCCTTTTCTTGCGAGGAATCCTATTTGGAATAAGGGAATTTCCCTTAAAAAAAAGGGAAACGTTGACAGCTATGCCCTTAACCTTTATTCAAGACTTTTTAAAAAGTATTTTCTGTCTCTAGCCTGCTTTTTCAAAATGACACAAAGACAGGTGGCGTTTGTCTTATGATCTGGTTGTGGCTTATCTTGTAGGGCTGCTGTCAAAATGTTCTGGCAAACAAAAGTTTGGCGAAGCAGAGAGGAGCCAAGCTCAAGTTCATTGAGGACGTCATCAGGGCAGTTCACCGCAGTAGACCAGATGTCGCAACTAGACAACAATGCAGGAGAACCGGTTTCTACTTACCAGGAGTGGACTGGACCAACAAGAGTCAGCGAAGGAGGAGGGGGAGGGGGAGGAGGAGAAGGAGGAGATGCAGACAAGGGGAATTACTAGAAAAGAGAGATTATTTTATAAAAGGGAGAGATTAAAGTATGCTCGATATATTAAGAGTACCAGGTCTGAGAAGTGCTTTTTGCCGCTCTGATTAAGCTTGGTTGTGAACATTGAGACAGTAGTGGAAACAGCATCAACCAGACTTAAGGACTGATTTCTGCTGTCAAGATTAGTCTGGTTCATCAGGAGCCTCTGCCTTTCTGTGCTGTTGAAAAGCCAAAGTGAGATGTTTTCGCATACCCAAACTCGCACAATAAAATACATTGGCACTCCAGTTCTTAATATCTATGCTGGTGTATCTGTCTGTGACATAGTTCATGCTTTGTGAGATGGTGATAGTAGAATTAGGCTAGAGCCCCAAACCCTGATCCACACTGGTAGAGGGGGTTAAGATCCAGAAGACATCTCCACCTGCTGGTCTTGAAATTATGGCGCAAGCAATGCTCTGAGATGGGGTCTCTGTGCTGTGCCATACTGGCTGGGGTGGGTAGCAGGGTTTCAGAGGGCTCCACCATTTCTTACTGCCCCCATTGCTTCCTAGCCAGACTTAAGATCACTCTGTTATTGACTGATACTCCAATAAATTTCATGCTGGCACAGGTGCATGCAGACCATAATCAAGCACAGGTCTTTGCACCTTTTAAGCCCATTAAAATCAATGGGTCTAAATTTCATATATATTTACAATTTCCAGTTATACATTTTCCACAATAAAATATCCAATAAGATAGTAAATTCATTGACTTCTCCTCCTTTCATTGTTCTTTTAATTTTCCCATTATTACTTCATATTCTATTCCAACCATCTAATTTTCCCCCCTTTACATATTACCTCTATTTACTATTGGCCAGGCATCCCCAGACTCAGCCCTCCAGCAGTTTTTGGGACTACAATTCCCATCATCCCTGACCACTGGTCCTGTTAGCTAGGGATGATGGGAGTTGTAGTCCCAAAACATCTGGAGGGCCGAGTTTGGGGGTGCCTGCTGTAGGTTATATTGTTGAATTTACCTTAATCCTGCTAACTTTTTCACTTGTTTACAGTTATTTTCCAGATACTCCACAAATATTTCCCATTCCTCTCTATGAACTCTATCCTGTTGTTCTCTTATTCTGCTTTAGACCTGCTAACTACATACCCCATCCTTTTAAGATACCATTCCGCCTTTGGGACCTCTCCCACCCTCCATCTTTGGGCTAACAAAATCCGAGCTGCTGTAGTTGAATACATATTTTTTCTGGCCCCTGGGAACGTCTGTCTGCACTATTCCTAGAAGAAATGCCTCTGTTTTTTGGGAGGGGGGAATGTTCTTTTAAACAATTTTTTCATCTCATTCTAAATCATTTCCCAATAATCCTTAACTATACTTCATGTCAACCACATATGATAAAACATTCCTTCTGCTTCTTTATATTTCCAACACATACCTAATTCAGATTTGTACATATTCGCTAATTCACTCGGCATTGGGTACCATCTATATATCATTTTCATGTAATTTCCCTTCACAATGGGTCTAAATTTCAGTTGGAATACAGCACTGACATTAGCAGCCTACACAAAGGACATTTCATATCATGTCACTTGTCCTGTCATCAACCTTCCTTACTTTCCTGAAATGTTAAAACCTCAGGGAAGTCTGAGTACCATAACTTTAGTTACTGCAGAAGAGGGAGCAATGTTACACGTTTGCAAATTGAGACAAAAAGATTTGTGCTTGAAAATGACTGTGTAGGGGAAAGGAAATAAACCTTGTATTCTCAATTTCCTTTAATAAATTCCCTTTTCTGGCAGCACATTTTTATAGATCAAGTTGAGCCCCATTTTGAATTCATGGCTGCAGAACTGTTAAATAGTAAAACTATATCACATATTTTCAGTTTTATAGAAAGCAAAACTTCCAGGGGGAGGGAGGGAGAGAATAGGCTGTTGAAAGTAGCAACCGTTGACATTTAATGGGGACTCAGAGTAGCTCCAGCATTAACAGCTGTGCTGGAAAATTTATAAAAGAGTTTATGCCAACACACAAAAGTATAGACAGAACTGGTTTTCAATAACCAGAAAGCTCATTATTAAACATTTGTTCATTTTTTAAAAAGGGAGCTAATCGAAGGAAAAACACATAAGGTTTATTTCCAAAGTTCAGATATTTGTGCAGATGTTCTAATTGCACCCCCTGCGTCTCTTTAAAAGAGCTTATCAACATTTTTCATAATTGTATGTTTTTGGTTTCTTTTTAAAAAGAAAAAGAAAAGAAAAATGAACACTAACCATTACATCCCCTAGAACTCTGCATTTAAAACTGGCAACTATTTGAATCACTGAGATGGGCAATGCTTTATTGTGTTATTGAGGAAAAGCATCCTAAAATCTAAAGAGAAAATGTAGATAAGAAAACAGCCCAGAATACAATGGTGGCAGCGCTGCCCGCTGCTCCATTAGTCAAGGCCAAAGCTTTTTATTTTACTTGCTGTTCAATGTCAATGCAATTTTCTATAATATTTTATCTTGTTAAATGTTTGTGGTTGAAGGAGAACTGTGCACTAAAAAAATTTTTTAAAATGGCAAATATACAAATTATGAATCCATTTTGTACAAATTTCCTGATATTAATAGGCTGCTGAACTTTGTATTTGCAAAATCTGACAAATGTACAGAAGGTCATTGTAACTTTTGAAAAGGGAAATGAAGGACGGGGGTGGGGGGGCTGATGGGGCTTGTAGCCCAAAATATCTAAAGGGCCCAAGATTGTAGAAGGGTGTTTTATGCCAATAAACACACAGCTCCGCAAAAAAAATACTTTAATAGAAATAGCATTTGTTTCGTTTTGCTTTTTAAGAACTGCTAACGATTCAAAAGCACAAAACACCCCTCATGTTCTTGTTGGGAAATCCCACAGTTTGTAAATGTGTGTATATGGATGATTATACACCACCTGATGGAAACACACATAGAACACACCTTATCACCTTATCTTTTTTCTTATTAAAATACTTATAAATATACTTCACCTATACAGATACCAGGGCAGGTAAAACATATGTTTTTTTTTTCTTTAAACAAACCATATATATGCTAGGCCAGGGATGCTTTACTGTTTTGATCCAATTCTGACGGAATAAAGCACTTGAACAATGAAGCCAGTGCGCTATGTCTATAGCATGCTACTATGGGAAAACCCCAGTTTAGCCATTCTCCATTTCCAGTGTAAATTAAACAATGATAATTACCAGGATCAGGGCCAGACATATCGTGAGGCAGGGTGAGGCTGCCATTCCAGCAGCTCATAAGGGAACCAATTAAGTTGTTTGTTTGTTTATAATACAACAGGTGCTTGTGGGATTTTCACCTCACCTTGATCCAAGATGCTATTCACTTTGACCGAAGACGGGGCAACCTCAGGCAACAAAATATCTTGGGCAAGCCCAACTGCAGCCCAACTGCCCTTGGACCTTATTTGGATTGACATAATCTTACTGGGGCTGACAAGGTTATAAGGGCAACTGTGCAGACCCTGTGATCTGTATAACTGCCTTCCAGATAAGGATATAATCTTTTCTATTGTGAATTACAGACCCCATCCAAACTTGCACATATCAGTGTAGATTCTTGATCATTCCCTGTTTCTTGGGAGGGAGGAAGTGGGACAATCTTTTTGAAATTCACAGCTTGTCTGTATACGATCTGCTCTCTTTCTCAGGAAATCGAGGAAATATTAAAATATTTTAAAGTTCATAATGTATGAGCCAGTTTCACTAAAAGTGTGATCTAATGGCATAAGTGATGGAAATAATTTTTTTCCTTGACAGTTTTTATGCATTCCTTGCTTAAAATGAAATCTTAATGATGAATCCGAAAGATTTTCATTATATTTTATTACTTCATTTAGTCAAAGACATTTAACAAAATACTAAGGAATAAACCAGGGGAAGGGTGTTCCCCTGTGGTGCCTTGCGCCATTGATTTCTTTCCAAAAAGACAGTTTTAAAAACCACATGCTCCAAAAAATGAAGGAAAGTTACAGTTGAAAGCAGATCTCATTTTGTATTATTAGTGGTGATATTTTCTCCAGTGTGATTAAGATTCAGGGAGCATTTCCTTTGTAAATCAAGGAATAGTTTCAGCTAAATGTTTAATGAAATTTGCAGTATTCTGTGTTGCCTGTGCAATTAATTAGTGCTATGAATAATAGGAAGTCAGAATCTCACTTACTTAAAAATAAAATCTAGATTTCCAGAATAACTGACAATTGCTGCATTTGTTTTTCTGTAATAGTGAAATTGTAGACATATCTCTTCAGAAGTGAAGTCCTACTTATCCCCAGGTAAGTATATAAAGGACTGCAGGATAAGATTATGAAGACTAAAATCCACATACACTTGGAAGGGAGCCCCACTGAACACAGTAGGACTTATTTCTAAGTACTATTATTATTCATTTAATTTCTATACTGCTTTACATTTATCAGATAAAATATCCAAGCGGTTTACCACACATCAGAACATCAAATAAAACAATGCAGAATAAAAACATTACTGAAGAAAGTTGGATATAAAGTATGCATTCAAAGCAACATACTAAACAGGGAACTAAAATGTTATGAAAAAGATTTCAAAATAAAACATTAAACTGCAAAATGCACATTTAACACAGCAAAGTTAACAAAAATTCTTAATGTTTCAAAAGAAAGCATTACTAAAGGAAGCCAAATATGAAATGCACATTTAAAATAGTATACAGTGGTACCTCAGGTTACATATGCTTCAGGTTACAGACTCCGCTAACCCAGAAATAGTGCTTCAGGTTAAGAACTTTGCTTCAGGATGAGAACAGAAATCGTGCTCCGGCGGCGTGGCGACAGCAGGAGGCCCCATTAGCTAAAGTGGTCTTCAGGTTAAGAACAGTTTCAGGTTAAGAACGGACCTCCGGAACAAATTAAGTACTTAACCCGAGGTACCACTGTAATTAACAAGGGACTGAAATATTATCCTAAGCACAGAACATATCTGCTGCTGTTCTGCCAGTTGTGCAAGTTTCCAGTGCAATCCTATGCAAGGAGACCATTTTGGCTGTGAGTCCTGTAAGCCCTGCTCCCTGCCCTCCCGGACCAAGTGGAAAAAGTCCTGCAAGACAGGGAACATGTCTACCAGGACTCGCAGCCAAGATGGTCTCCTTGCATAGGATTGCACTGTAACATGTTGTATGATTGTTAGACAAGCAAACCACAGATATTCGGCAAACTGCTTTTCCATGGTGCTTAGTTGAATTAGTTGGT